TAGAAAGGTATGAGTTAAAAAAAAGAAACTTGCAAAACTGCATCTTCTTTATGCACCCAATGAAGAGCAACACGCCAACATTCAGCTGATATAGCTTCGGACGCAGCGAAAACGGGAAGACTTTCAATTGCCCCGGTGACGCGCAACATTGAAAAATCATCCCAAGTTAAAAAAGCTCATGGTTCCACATGTGAAATTTCTGAAAGCTAACACAATGCGAAAGCACTGCTTACTTCAAATCATTGAGAAGAAGCTTCACTTTCTCAGCAAAATCGCGTGTTTGCTGTTTCAACGTACGCACCTGGCTTCTTTGATAGTACAGCAATCCTTGGGCTACTCTCATACGTTGCGAAAAAACTTTCGGACATCTGATGTTCATCCTAAACACGGAAAACAGCTTTTTTTTGCAGGAAATAAAACCCAGGAAAACTGAGAAAAAAGAATCCTCCTACTGGAACACTTACTCCGGGAATTTGTCAGCAGCCCATTCAGTCAGCAGCATATCAATCACAACCAATTTCTCCATTTCCGTTTGAGTGCACACTGACCGATGAGTACTTTCTTTGGAGATTTCACGGCCCTGGAAATTTGATTACCAGAATTGTCTACGCCAACATGCAAAACAAACACACGCTCAGCGCAGCTAATTTCAAACTCTCTTTTTTTAGACTAACAACTTCCCACTACTGCCGACCACTTGTACTAAGAAACGAGCGCCACTTCTTCAGAGGCCATCTAAGAGAGCCTGTTTGTTCTCGCAAGCATCATTCATTGACCGCAGCATCCGCTTACGGTCAGCACCAGTCAGCAAACGTCTGCCCATCTGCTTGCGCTAATGGCCAAAAAGACAACTTATTATCAGAAGCTACGTGTTTCCTCCTAGCGCAGTTTCGGTAATAGCAGTTGAGAGCGCAATAAAACGCAGGTAGCAATTCAAAAATCAAAAAGGAAAACGAAATGGAGTAACACTGGAATAATCAGCAGCTGGCTGATCATCAAATAAATGATGCAGTTCCAGCCACGGTTGAACTGTTGCCAGCGAGTATAGGCGGCGCAGCAGAAATACGCCAGAGTGGAAGAAAAGTTAGAGTGCCGAAGCGAAGTTTACTACCTATCGTTTCAAAGTGAAATCTCCAAAACGGCACGAAACAAACCTCAATTACGCATGTTTGGGTAGCCGCTGATATCTTTTCCGAACGCATCTAAAAAAAAAAAATGAATAGCAACGCACACCAGACTAGCCGGTACGATCATGCGTTTTGTGCAATTCAGCCCATCAAACGATTGCCTATTAATGATTTTCACTGCTTTTTACTTTGGTCTGTGCAAAAATAGTTGAAACGTTGAAAAATAGTTAAAAAACATCCTTAAGCAGAAAATCCTTAAATAGAAGACATTCAACTTCGCAACAGTTACTTTACGCTGCCTCTTTTGTGACAGATGATGGAATTTGGAAGTAATTGATCGCACACTCGCTGACAACTCTTTTTTCCGAAGTCGTAACTGACTTCGGATTGATACGTATGAGCAGCTGAAGTTAGTGATGTTACCAAAATGCAGTGGCCCTCGAATCGTGATGAGAGGGTGATATGCGGAAATTACTTCATGATAACGATAAATGCAACTGCGCCGACATTCTGCCGATTTCCTTCCCAGCCCAGCAAAACTGCTTAACCTTCCCTCCGGACTGCGATTTACTCTGAATTCCGCCGTATTTCGCACCCGCTTATATTGTAATTTTTCCGTCCATTTCTTGAGATGGTTTCCACGACAAACTCCATACCTCCAGAGGCATGTGCCGAAAGATCTAGCCCAATCCGAGATGGCAACAGCTGAACGTTTGGAATTTTTAGTAGCCCCTCGCAGTCTCTATTCCTTACCTGCCACCGCATATCGGACTAAGTGCGCAGAGCACTGGGTTCGTGCTTTCTATTTTCACACTTCAAGTTATGTTTTGCAGTGTTCATTTTGTGTTTCCTATGCCTAGTGCATGGTGATCGACAATTATTGCCCAGCCATCCGCCAGTTAGACTGACAATAATCTGCATTCTACTACGCGGCATAGTGTCTTCTCGAAATGCTTGACGTCGCTGTATCCCGACACCGTCTATCCGATTGTCGGCATCCTACCATGAGGTACTTGGGTTGGGGCATGTATTATCCTTTAAAAACTACGGCGACAAATGGCGTGGGAAATAAGTAACACGGACTCGACATTACTTACGATGGAAACATACCGAAGCCATGTAATTCGACGGCACATTCACTTGAGCACGCAACTTCTGCGATTCAGTAGTTCTACTTCTGCGGCCCTTCATATTTCCATGCTGAACCAATTTTGCTCTAAAAAACGTGTTGTTAATTTGAAAAAGTTTTCATTTTTGGAACAAATTAGTTGAATGGAGGTGGTGAGCAATATTTGTCTAGCTCCCCTCTCCCTCCCTCCTCCCATCCTCTCCCGGTGCGAGTGCAAATACGGTCTTTAATCGAGATTTATTACACAGGGCGCAAGACGACAAATTTCGCCATCGTCACTATAATTAAAACTTACAGCTCCTAATTTATTTACTGTTACAGACGGATGTAACACCCGGCAGACCAGTTAATGGCACTTTGCTTAGAAGTTGTTTGCAAATTGCAGTTCTCAAATTTACCATCGAAACGACTGAACAAATCATAAACGGACTGGTTGTCTCAGTCCACGCCTTTCAACACTACAGCAACGCTACTTGCCCACTGCACCATATCTGTCGGCTTCACGCAGTGCTAAGTTGCTGTCCTCACAGACACCAACTAACCCACAAAATTTACCCAGTATTTTTTCCTCTGCCTGTGCTTTTGGAACTCTGTTTCCGCTTCTTCGACTGCACAGTTTTAACCGCAACTGCCGATTTGTGCGCAGCGCTCTGAAAAAAAATGAGAGTTTTCATGAAGAGTACGAAATATCTCATAAGTTTAGAAAAATGCCTTTTAAAAATTAAACAGTACCAAGAGCTTCACAGCGCTGGCAGCAGCGGCACAAATCTGCTTTGTATTTCGGCTGGGTCTGTTACGCAGTGACCTAAATTTTGCTTTTAATTAGTCTGGACAGTGACAACAGATGATGACAAATGTAAAAGTGGACCTCTACAGCACGGAAAGCAACCTACAATTTCATAAAAATGATAGAAGAAGGAATGAATGGAAGATACGAGCAAGAAGTGAACGTCCTTGTGCCAGCCGCTGCACGTTCCCCACTAATTGTATGTAAATGTCCTACCTTGAGCCCAACCCTCTACTCTCCCCTCCCCCGTTAGTTCTCCCAGGATGTAAAAGTGATGCTATTCGTATTGTCAGGTGCTGCGAATTATTTGCTGGTAGATTTGTGGCAGCCATAGTGTTGCTGTCAGTTCTCGTACGACGTCTACGGTGTTATTTATATTGGCAAAAAGTTTTTTATTAAGTTCACTCATCAAACAAGGACCCGGGAGGGTGTGGATTTTACATGACGGCCTAAGCCGGCAAACCTGGACAATCAGGCAGGTGCTTTTTTTTTACTTCACGAAGTCCCTTCGTATTTTCGGAAAAAGTGTCCAATTCTGTAAAGAAAACG